AAGAATCACAATTGCATTGCTGATTACTTTCGTTTTTTCTTCCTATCTAGGCCGCTCTGATTAAGACATCGTCTGACGCACGCCCACGAGTAATTGGCAAAAACTGTTGCAAGTTGCTCTTTGAGATTTCGTATTATTGCATTAGGAACTGTGGTTCTATAATAATAAATAAAGATATATTAAAAAAAATCATAGAAATCAGGCAATTAACCATTAATTAAAAATTTTTAACCCGTCCCGCCCCTGAACCCATCGCAGACACAAGGGAGGGGGGGGGGATTATTACCCCCTGACAGAATTTTTAAATTATTTAAAATGTATGACTAAGTAAAAAGTAAAAAAACTTGAAATTTTAGCTACTTGTTCCAAATATTTGGGCAAATTTAAGTAAAAAAAAATTCATTTGAAATGCCTAATCTGACCATATTAGTCAAATCCATGGATCGATTCGGTCAAACGAATGACTGGTCAAAAACTTAAATTTTGAATTCTGGCTTTTCTTTGTAATCCTGAAGTTTCATATTTTCCAAAAAGCTTTTTTTTATACTTACATATTTACAATTATTTCAATAGATGAAGTATGAGAAGTTGTCAGTCCAAGATCCTACTTTTTTGGATCTGGATCATGATCTAACAAGTTAAACTAATTGATCCCAAATTTTCAAAATAGGTTAAGAAAAATAGAAAATTTAATAAAAACCCAAGCACTGAAAGTATGATTTTCTAAATATCTCCCTCTCACCCTGTGCCAACAACTTATAAAAAATAGGTAAGCCTTAAAGCTGCTGCCCAATATCATTACCTACATAAAAATGCCCTAATTAAAAAACCTACCTAGCAGCCTCTCCATGAGTTGTATTCAGGCTTTCTCTAAAACATTTTAAATTTAATAGTATCGTGTTAAAAATACAACAAACTTTCATACTTTAATATATATATATATATATATATATATATATATATATATATATATATATATATATATATATATATATATATATATACATATATATATATACATATATATATATACATATATATATATATATATATATATATATATATATATATATATATATATATATATATATATATATATATATATATATATATATATATATATATATAATATGTAAAACAAATAACAATTTTTATTATTAATTATTACAACAAAATTTATGGATATTTATGTTACCAAGTTTATGAAATTTTCATAAAATCCATAATATAAAATAATATTATAAATAAAAAGATATTAGATTAAAAAGATATTAGATATTAGAAAATTTTTTAATTCAACTAGATTTTTTTGGTAATAATTTAATTTTAACGTAAGGGACAGATTGTCCCGGGCGGCAGATTTCCAAGGGGCACCAAATAGAATGAAAGTACCTTGGAACAAAGGTCCTTTACCGATAACATAGGAGAATTTCGATAATGAAGAACGCCAATCATGTTGCTGTCCCGGGCGGCGAAACAGTCTTTGGCGGCATTTTATATATATATATATATATATATATATATATATATATATATATATATATATATATATATTATATATATATATATATATATATATATATATATATATATATATATATATATAGTTATTTGTTATTATTTAATTTTTTTACAACACTTTCATTTATATACATTCAATAAAAATAGTTTTTAATTATTTTGTAATTATAATATATTTTTTTAATTTCCATACTTATAATGTTGTGTAGTGCAGGTGGTAAGGCACTAATGGTCTAGTGATCCGGGTTTCAAAACCCACCACCGATAAGTTTTTCATTTTTCAAAATAAATCAAACAAATGGAAAATCTTATGAATCCTTTAAGATACCCTACAGGATAATCACAGGATTTGTTATGATCTTGTAGGATTTGCAAGACAAATAAAATCTTACGAATTCTTTAAGATACCCAATGGGTAATCACAGGATTTGTTATGGTCCTATAGGATTTGAAAGACAAATAAAATCTTACAAATCCTGTAAGATATCCTGTAGGATAGTATAAGATTATATGCGATCCTATAAGACTCATAAATTGTCTGTAAGATAGTCGACTAGTGATTATTATTATTATTATAGTATTTTCTACAATAGAAGTTTAAGTTCTATGAGCCGAGTGTCTAACGAGACCCGACTATAATAGACCGACGTGAGATAGAACGATTCCATTTGTCATAATTGTTTTTGAAACGATCAACTGAATTCACAGCAACTACCGAAGCAGGCAAAGCGTTCCATGATGACACAACTCAATTTTTAAAGAAGTTATGTCTTAGAGAGTTTTTCGATAATTCTCGTTTAAATTTATGCTTGGCACCACGAAGATGACCTGCAGGTCCATCACATAGTAGAGCACTTGCTCTGTTATTCTGCTGTTGCCAGTTAACAATGTTCAATTTTTTATAAATTTCAAAAAATCTCCTCTCATTCTACGTTCAACTAATGAGCTGAGAATTTGCTAATTTTTTCTCGTATTTCAAGTTGCGCAATTGTGGAACGAGTTTGGTAGCTCTACTTTGGACTGATTCTAACTTTTTAATGTCTTTTAGAAGAAAAGAGTACCAAACTGGTGCGCAGTACTCCAATATCGGTCTTGCATATGCTGTATAGAGCTTCACGAACACACTTGGATTTCATTTTTTAAAAGTTCTTTTGAGTACCCCAAGTACAGAGTTAGCTTTAATAGTGGCATCACTAACCTGTTCTGACCATTTCAGTTTATTATTTATCAGAGCACCCAATGTTCTTTCAACAGATACATCTTCAATAGGAATGTGACTGCCATTTTTA